GATCACTTTAAACATCAAAATGCATTACTATGAAGGCCTATTATTTGAGTTAACCTTTTTATGAATTACTGGTGGCGTTTTGATAATTTTAAATGTCCTCAAAGGATATGTATTATCAGCGTGCCTATTACGCCCCCTAGTGTCGGAAAAAATGTTCGGTTGGATGAGCCGCGATTGAAAACCCCGGTGATCCAGACACTAGATACCATCTAAAGCACTTTGAATTCTGCCAGTGTGAGCACACATTTATTCGCAGGATAGATGCAGGGTCCCTTGGAGTTATTTTAAAGTTTTAAGCCTATAAATTTACCTGTCTCCCCCCACATTATTATCCCGTCGCTCTTTGAACTTGCGCCCCCCCCCACCCCTCCTCCTCCTTTGCCTTCCTAATTAATGCCTGAAGTAAATAAGATTAAAATAGATTCACCGAAATCTAAACATTTTGGAGCTATTGATAATGAAAGGACAGCCTTTCAGTAATTTCTAATAAACACAAAAAAAATCTACTTCCATTTTTTGTAATGGCAAAGGGGAACAGGCATCAAAGGACCAACGACAAGGACCAACGACATGAACTAACGACATGAACCAATGGCTGAGAACAAAGGCATTAACCGATGCAGCATCTACATATGCAACATAGACATATGCATTATAGACATATGCAGCATCTACATATGCAACATAGACATGCATTATTGACATGTGCAGCATCTACATATGCAACATAGACATGCATTATAGACATATGCAGCATCTACATATGCAACATAGACATATGCATTATTGACATGTGCAGCATCTACATATGCAACATAGACATATGCATTATTGACATATGCAGCATCTACATATGCAACATAGACATGCATTATAGACATATGCAGCATCTACATATGCAACATAGACATATGCATTATTGACATGTGCAGCATCTACATATGCAACATAGACATATGCATTATTGACATATGCAGCATCTACATATGCAACAAATACATGTGCAACTTATACATATGCAGACAACACATATGCAACAACAGCACAACATCTAGACATTTTACATCTGCTTATTTTTGACACAAATGGAACCCCATACAGCCAAAGATACCAGTTCCCCGATTGGGTCTCCATGGTAACCAGTGGTTTACTCTATTTCCATTTTGGATTTGAGGTCAGGATACAGCCTACACTGCAGATCAACAGTTACCTCCAAGCACATCTGGAATTAGAGCAGTTGCTATGGTAACAGTTGAGCCGAGCTTGTTATTCTCCCACCTAATGGCCAATGTACTTCTCTACTAACAAACAAATTAACAAAAACCAAGCCTCCAGGTGCACAAAGTTAAACATGTTTCCGGGTTAAAAGATGCTGATACTTATATCCAGCTATCCTTTGTATAATATAGACACTAGAGCATGGAAGAGTCTAAACAGGACACCAAAGGGAATTTTCTGTGAGAAGTCAAGTTTTGATTTGACCTACTGTTGTAATTCCTGGATCTGACCACTAGAGGGCAGTAAAAATCTGTCCTTTTGGTCTTTCTGCAATATTTTCTGTAGCTTTAATAAAAACTAGCATGTAATCAGTTAGCAGCTTTTTCTGTATGTTTATAAAATGTGACAGATGATTGTAATGATGGAAGGTGAAGATATCGGTGATACATCTGAGCTTTCCTCACCAACCTTTTGTGTCACTTCGAAGCAAGTTAAAAATTAGGTCAGAAATATTTTTCTCATCTTAAATTAATTGTCCAGTGACTGTAAATAAAACAGCACACTCTCATGTCAACATGTTTTATTTGAACCATAAACAGATGGTTTCTTTTTTGACTTGCAAACATTTCTGCTTCAGTTTTTTTTATTTATTTTTTTGCACGCTGACAGAAAAAAGCCATAAGTCATAATCTTACGTAGGAAACAACAACAAAGAACATGAATAGAAAAAGAAGTAAAAAAAAAAAAAAAAGACGTGTTGAAATACAACAGGACTTACAGTACAAACACACAGAGGTGGAGTATATTTACACATACACCATATAATGAAGAGAAAGCACATGGCTCCATCGTTTTTTTTTATCAAACACATTTCTGCATAATGATCCAAATAAAAAAAAAGGAAGGAAAAACACAAACATATCTGTGTGTTTATCAAGGTCCAGCATGGAAAGACGCACCATGAACGAGAGCACAATGAGGGAGAAAGCAAACACATAAGTTTATATCAAATTCCCACAATAACAGTTAAACCGAAAAGCTTCTTTTTTCTCTTTTGGTCCATAACTAAAGTTGAGAACTCAACAAGCTTCAGTATATCAAATATTCCTCTTTGTGAATCAGTGATTTTTTAGTACAAAGTAAGTCCTATAAAAATATTTTTTTCTGCTGTGTAAACTTGAACAACCAAAGGCACTGTCTTCTCCTCACATTTTAATCATCTAATGCTTCGTATCTAAAGCCGTTTTCTTTATACAAACTCCAGCCTCAGCGATTAAACGCTATCTTAAATACTGAGCGGCCTTCTTTTTCCACCAGCTTACAGCCGTGCAGCAGTTCTCCTTCTTCCTCAATGCTACATTTCAATGCACCACATAATAAATGCAGCCTGTTCTAAATGACCAGGTTCAGAGGAAAATGGCTCCGCTGCTACAGTCTGCAGAGAAGCTCAGCTGTTTGAGTCACAGAGCTTCTCTGTTTTTCATACCAAAAGCTGTCTTCCACATGTTTGCACCACCTGTTTTGGGGCGGCACTGCTATGACGGTTAATGTTAGAAAACCACAATGACCATTAGACTGTTTCTCAGCTTTAAAGTCCTTTTTAAAAACGTCTCAGGCAAGCGGCTGAACTGACTGAATTCCATCCAGTTGTTGGTCAGCTGATTGAAAGAATGTTGCTACATGTTCTTTTTAATAGCGATGACAAAGTTTGGTGGGAAAATTTCCTGCACCAACAGCAGAGTCGTGTTGTGGAAACTAAAGAAAACCGACGGTACTGTGTACTCAGCAATAACCTACCAGCTATTCGCCTGTTAGTTCCAACATATACAAGGCTTCAACCGCCAATAAAAATGTTCCCACTCATTTTTCCACCATCAAAAATGACGGGCATTTACTTCCACTGCAATACAACTGTGCCCCTCCCCCTCTTACTGAGCACTGCTGGTCAGGTGGCTTAAACACGACCACTTTACTCCCCCGTCCCCCCAAACAAATACAGCCAGTAACAGACTGAAGGCAGGACCATGTAGAAACTGTTAAAATGGATGTTTCTGCTACATTTACTCAAATCTACATTTCAGGCAACATTGGAAGTGTGGTAACAAATATTCTATATTAAGAATCTTCAGCTTTTTTATGCTTTATTTCAACTAAGTATTTTAAATGTCCGCATTAATATGCTGATAATCCAGTATTTCTTCTACATGTTGTCATAACATTAAAATCTCTTAGCGGCAATTTCTGTCATTTTGCAGCTGAGGATGTTCTGTTCCAACTTTCACATTTAGTTTTTTATATATAGAATCTTCTGCAGAGGTGTCAAGTAACAAAGTACAAATACTTCCTGATCTTACTAAAGTAGGGATTTTAGTTATCTATAATTTACTGGAGTGGTTATTTTGTTAGACGACTTTTTACTTCTACTCCTTACATTATTTTGCAATTATCTCTATTTTCTACTTGTTACATTTTAAAAATAAAAGTTTTGTTTCATTTAAGCTCATTTTAGTTATGGCAGGTTGGCATTTAAACATCAAAATCATTTGTTTTATCCAGACAATTAATTTATTTGTGGTTGGACTCGGTACTGCACCAACTTGTTGTTCAACACAAACCAAAATAAATCGTTTTTCCAAGATGATGTAAAGTTAAATTGAACACTTTTACAATTAGTTATAAATCTAAGATAATTAAATATAAGGAATTTCTCATCCAGAATTGTAGAAAAATATTTCTTTGATAGGGTAGTGCAGTAACCAGTATGTTTAAAGCATCTGTCCTTAACATTTTTCCTTCATTACTTTTATACTTTAAGTAGTTTTACAAATGTTATTTTTAGTTGATACTCTAACTTCTACAAAAGTGTTTTTAAACAGCAGGATTTATACTTGTACTTGAGTAATAAACATTAATATTTTTGACACGTCTGACCTTCCATACATTTTTCAATCTAATTTTAATCTGCTGCAAAGAAATGTGTTCAAGTGACTCCATTAAATCATATTGACCAGCAGGGGGCACTCCAACTAATTTTGTTTCAATCGGGCTCATAATCTCTTGTAATAAGAGTGAAAACTAAAACCACAATCACTAAAGAAGGGAAGTAAAGTAAAATATTACAATAAAACATTTAAAAAATAGCCAATTAAATTTGAGTTTATGCCAGATTTGAGCCCGGAGTCATCTAAAAACAAAGTTTGTGCTTTAAAAAAGAAACAACAAAAGACAGATGAAACAGCGATGGCGATAATCAAACAAGTTTTCCCTTTCAAGAAGATTTTTGTAAAACAAGCAGAGGCACATCTGTGCATTAGTACCCATAGAAATGCTGAAAATCTGGTTCATTGTCTCCAAAACAAGCCGAGACAAACCCAGATTCCCAGCTGATGTGCTGAATCTGCTGTGCTTCCTTACGCAGACGCTACATTTTGGCCAACAAAGCACATATTTTTGAACCTTCACATATCCCATCATATGAAAATAGACCCATTATATGTGGATATGAGATAAAACAGGACGTGTCTCAGCTGCTCTCAGCTTCTAAGAGTCTGTTTCTACATTAACATTCCTTTTCATGCTTAAAGAAAACTTTAAATGCTCAGTATTGAAAGTGCAGCAATAATTAAAACTGATTTAGTAACACAAAGAAATCCAACTTTGCATTATGTGCAACTATAACCCCAACTAACTCAGTGAGTCGTTTTTTTAACAGGATGCTACCGGAGTGTGTGAATTTAGTCACAATTGTCGACACAAAGTAAATACCATAAAATCCTAACAGACGGAATCTACTGAAACTGCATGCTTCTTCTAATGAGGAAATGACACCATGATTGTTCATCCTTTAGTTTCCTGCTCGTCTGCACCTCAGTGAAGCAGAGATATGATTATGAAGATGATTAAAACCTCTAAAGAAGTGCTGCATCGCTACAAAACTATGTGTTTGCATTAGCTTGGTGTGAATCACTCGTTGAGGAGGGACTCTGGCCTGTCGTACCCGAAAAGTCTGAAGTCAGGCTCATAGAGCTTGTAGAGTTCCCTCCGTGCCTGGATGGGCACCGTGCTGAACCAGTCCGTCTCCCAGCTGCTCGCCGTGAGGTTCCTTTGCGAGGTGGGGAACTCCACCACGTTATCCACCCGCAGAAGTCGAAGCAGGTGCTCGGCGTCCTCCTCCGCCGTTTCCAAGTGGCCCACAAAGTCGTACTGAATCTGGCACGGATGGCAAAGGCGATAAACTTGCCGCCAGTGCTCATTAAAGGGCATGTCCTTCTCCGTCTGAGGGTCCAGGAGGTACTGGATGAAGTGGGAAAAAGAGGGCTGGACGCCCAGGGTGAAGGCCTCGTCTACAGAGGCAGGAGGCGTTGGCTGGTTGGCGTAGCGCCGCAGCATGACTTGTGCGAAGCGGCGGTAGAAGTCCTCGTTGCGCATCTCGAATTTGTTCCTATAGGCGGAGATGAGACGTACAAAAGGGTCCCGCACAAACAGGAACTTGGTGTACTTCTTCAGCTTCACCTGCAAAAGGCAATTCAAACAGATTGGATATCATTTCATCAGAGGAATTACTGCAAAAAAGCATGTAATGGGATATTATGCTACAGTTTAGGGAAAGAAAACCTTGATGGTCAGAGCAAACGTAAAATAATCAGCCGTTTTATTGCCTTTAAAGCAGATCAGTGTTTTTAAAACCGTTTTCTAACACAGTGACGCCTTTGGGTGCAGGTCTGTGTATAAAAAGAGAATCTGCAGCAAGGAGTAATGGAGTATCATCTGTCAATAAACAAAAACAGGGACCAAAAATCAAACAAAACTGTTGAAATGAAGCTGTTCGCATATTTTAGCAATAAAGTAATGCAGAAATTGGTCTAAAGTTTTCCAAAATGGTGAAGAATGGAACCTTATTAGCATGCAATATTAGAACCAGTGTTATGCATAATGTTGGCTTCAAGGGAAGGAGCAACATTATGGTTACAATAATTTCGCTTATTTAGTCTGGTTCACTCAATAAATGCTTCATACACGAGGTAATGTGAGGCCTGAAACAATTAATGGGATTAATCAATTATTGAAACAATCGTAAACTAAATTTAGTAATCGATAAATCATTAACTGGAGTATAGACTGTAAAACATGCCTTTAGTTGACAGAACAACCCAATTAGACAAATAATTATATCAAAATTGTAATAAAATATATACATTTTTGGCATTTAAGATGAAAAATAATGTTCATCTGTCAATATGCTCTATCAAAAACTCCTCAAGTGGAAAGGTTTTAGTTTCTTCTGGTTTAATTTGGACTTAGACTTAGACTTGACTTTATTAATCCCTTGGGATTACTCCCTTCGGGAAATTGTATTTCCAGTAGCAGGAAAAATTGCACATATAAGAAAAAAAAAAAAAAAAAGAGGATGTTTAGACACAGTATATACAATAGAAAAATAGAATAAAATCAATTAAATAAGGTGTAGGAAGATGTATTGGGGGATGAGGATAGACAAATAAATACAGAGGGCTATAGCAAAAAAACAATGACTTAAATTAACAGTTATGTAGTGTATTGCACTTGAATGGTTGAGGAAAAAAAATAAAAAAAAAAAGTGTCCAGATTATAAAAACCAAAGCAAGTATCTACAACTCCTTCACTTCTGTTCTCTTAACTCTATTTCCTACTCCCCCCCAGAGAGGAGTTATAGAGCCTGATGGCATGAGGGACAAAGGAGTTCCTGAGTCTGTTGGTCCTACATTTGGGAAGGAGCAGCCTCCCACTGAACAGGCTCCTCTGGTTGCTGATGACGGTGTGCAGGGGATGACTGACATTGTCAATAATGTCCAGCAGTTTGTCCAGTGTCCTCCTCTCTGCTACCGTCACCAGTGAGTCCAGTTTCATGCCGACCACAGAACCGGCCCGCCTGATCAGTTTATCCAGCCTGGAGGTGTCCTTCTTAGATGTGCTGCCCCCCCAGCACACCACAGTGTAAAAAAGGACGCTGGCAACCACAGACTGGTAGAACATCCACAACAGTTTGCTGCAGATGTTAAAAGATCGCAGCCTCCTGAGGAAGTACATCCTACTCTGTGTCTTGCCATACAGGTGGCTGGTGTGTGTTGTCCAGTCCAGTTTATTGTCCAGCCACAGCCCGAGGTATTTGTAGGAGTCCACAACCTCCACCTCAGCTCCCCCTAACAGAACTGGTTGTGGTCTTGGTCTGGACCTCCCAAAGTCGATGACCAGCTCCTTCGTCTTAGAGGTGTTGAGCTGTAGGTGATTGGTGTGGCACCATGCAGTGAAGTCCCTCACCAGACTCCGGTACTCCTCCTCTCTGTCATCCCTGATGCACCCAACGATGGCTGTGTCATCGGCGTACTTCTGGATGTAACACAGCTCCGAATCGTAACAGAAGTCCGCGGTGTACAGGGTGAAGAGAGCAGGGGCTAGCACTGTGCCCTGGGGGGCTCCTGTGCTGCTGACCACAGTGTCAGACGTGATGTCCTTCAGCCTGACATACTGTGGTCTGTCAGTGAGGTAGTCCGAAATCCAGTGCACCAGGTGGGGGTCCACACCCATCTTACTCAATTTGTCATGGAGCAAGGGGGGCTGGATGGTATTAAAGGCGCTGGAGAAGTCCAAAAATAGAATCCTCACAGTGCCACTTCCCTTATCCAGATGGGAGTGGACTCGATGTAACATGTAGAGGATAGCATCCTCCACACCAACACCTGGCTGGTATGCGAACTGCAGGCGGTCCTGGGCGTGTTGCACCTGGGGTCCGAGAAGGCCGAGGAAGAGCCGCTCCAACGTCTTCATCAGGTGTGAAGTGAGTGCCACCGGTCGGAAGTCATTCAGCTCGTTGGGCCTGCTCTTCTTTGGTACCGGCACGATGCAGGATGTCTTCCAGAGGGTGGGCACTCTCCCTAGCTGCAGGCTAAGGTTGAAGATCCGTTGTACTGGCTCCCCCAGTTCTGCAGCGCAGGTCTTGAGTACTCTAGGGCACACTCTGTCTGGGCCTGCTGCTTTCCTGGGCCGGAGCTTCCTCAGCTGTCCTCTGACCTGATCCGTTGTGATGTGAGGCGGGGATTGTGTTGAGGTGGGGGAGGGGGAGGGGGGTGTTGTGATGTCTGGAGGGAGGTGTGTAGAGGGAAGGAGGAGAGGTGGCTGCAGTGAGGGTGGGGGTGGAGTAAAATATCTTATTAAAGGAAACTTTGGCTATCTGATTATTAATCAAATCAATAATTAATCAAATCATTAGTTGCAGCCAGAATAAGCAGGAACTTATAATAAACTGCATGGCTTTTCTCTGCCAAGGACACAAAAAAATGGCAGAGCTTTTGCTAAGCAGCAGCTCTTTGTGCAGCATAGGGCATGTAAACACAACATGGCTGCACAAGCACCAGCAAAAGGCAGCATTACCTCCTCTACCCGTCGCTGCAAACACAGCAGATGAAGAGAAGAAGGACTGAACAGGAAGCAGAAAAGAAACAAATCCCTTTTAAATCTTGGCACATAGTACTAAAGTTGGGGAACTCTGGGGACCAATTTGGACTCAAAACTGGCTGCATTACTGCTAAAGCGGTAACTTTTAATCACTGCATTATATAACGCTCTGCTTTAGTTCCCTTTTATTTGTTGTTCTTAGACAAGTGGAATGGCGTATGTCATGACCAAGAGAAAAGAAGGAGGGAGGGAAAACCTGCTGGGGTGGAGCTAACCGTTTTAACGAAACTGTCCTTCTTATTCACGGTTTAAATTGGAGCAGGATCAGGGATAAATCCTTTAATAGAATTAGTCAATTATTGAAATAATTAGACAACCGTGAGCTATATTAATTAATGGATAATTATTAAGAAGAGTGCACAGACTATAAACTGCTCACATAAATGTTCATATATGTGCATAAAATGTTTACATTGAGTTAATTACAGGGTATGTGATTAATTAATTGCAAATAAACCCATTTTAATCAAAAACCATATCACCAAAATATACAACCTTTCAATTCAAAACTCATTTTCCTCTTAATTTATGGGATAAACCAACATGTGAACAGAGCAACATAGAATTTATTGTTTTTATTCCATTATCCCGGTTATTGAACCATCAGATTGGTTAAAAGTTTATGATCTTTTACCTTCTTTTTAAAGCCCTGATATTTTATGCAACCTCTTTCATAAAATACTTCTATAGAAGCATAAGCAGTACATGAAGATTATTTACAGCACATTCCTGCTTTTTAACATGGTAAAAAATCAGTGGTATCGCCTGGTCTGGGCATTCCCGGCTGTAGCTGGGGAATAAGAAATTAACTGAGCTGCCCTACGATATCAAATGAGATGAGGTTTCCCAGCTCCAGTGAAGGCAACACAGGCTCAACGCTATGACCAATCAAAGAAGAGCTTGTGTGGTAGTGGCCCTCATCCATGTTTTATTGGCTATCAGTGATGATAATTAGAGTTGTCACAAAAGAAAGTTGGCATATTAAAGAAAGAAGGAAGATAATTATTCTCCTGTGGTGGCTGGCAGTGGGCAGAAAGAGTCACTGTGGATCAGATAAACAAGCTTAACTTATAGAAGTAGATACAGCCGTTTCCCACATTTTAAAAGCCTTTTGGTTGAGGGGTGAAAGGATGGTCTGGTGATGAGGGAAAATTTACTTCTCTCGATCTCAGGAGTGTTGGTTTAAAACTTTAATTGGATCAAATAATTAACTATATTCTATCCAAAATGTATATTTCATTATCTTATTATAAAACAAACTCTGCCATCATGCTAATATAGAATCATCTTTGATAGAGTGAATCACAGGTAGACTGAGTTCACTGCTGAGTGCTTTTAGGATCTCTGTTTGCTGTGTCTCCAAGCTACTTCTTTCTTTATAAAATGCACAAATAACTAAATCTGAGTTCGGATTAGTCTTGTTTTTCAGGAACTTTTAAAAATAAGCTTTTTAGCAGGTATTAAACTTAAATTTCATTAAATCATAATGTTGGTGTTAAAATACATTTCAATAAAATACATCAAATATACAGTAATTACATACTTTATTATAACATTTTATTTTAAGCTATTGTTTTATATGCAATAAACAGTTGAGTAGCTCAACATAAAACAAGCAGCACATTTAACCTCAATGTGATTATAACCCTGCAAATATGGTTATGCTTGTTTAGAGTTAGGTTAGCAGTATTTTCCAGAGCAGACCTTCATGAGATGCTTTGCAAACTTGCCGTAGCGCTTCCAGAACTTATTAAAGGTAAAGTGCATGCTGGTGTTGTGGACCAGATCCCTGGGGATGGCCAGAGGGTCTCTCTGAGGAGCGCCCTCCTGCTGCAGGCTCTCACTGAGGACGATCATGATGCGCTTCCAGTTACTGCAGGCTACCTGAAGTCAGAAGATTAAAGGAGAGAAACCCAACCACCCGATCAGAATCAGAATGTTGCCAAGTAGGTTTTCACTTACAGGGTATTTGACATGGTGTTGTTGGTGCAGACAAATTAGATTTATATGCAGAATACAGGATCTATAGTTATATACAATATAATTCATACAATATACTATATATAGTATATAGCTATGTACTATATACACAGTAGGCTGTGCGTTAATGTTACGCAGGAGGTCTGGAGATGCTACGCTACATATCAGTAATAATGAATTTTAATTAACTGAATTTTAGCTCGAGTTACTAGATTAAATGGTGCTTAACGTGATGCACACCCTGTCTTTTAAAATGTCTGTTTGTAAAGAAAAATGTAACCATTTATTAGGTTCTTAACAGATTAAAATAATTAGTGTTTCCATATTACAGGAAGTTCAACTAAATAATGATGAAACAAAAAAAAATGTCCAAAAAGTGTAAAAAAAAAAGGCTGCAAACCTTGGGAACGTAGCAGTAGATAATGCCATGTCTGTCATCCACGATAAGATGATCCAACTCCTTGTTGGGAATGTCGTCAAACGAACGGTTTTTGCCCGGGAACACCACGCTGTCGTTGGCGCAAAGCTCCTGAAGCAACCTTCGCCTCTTCTCCTGGTTATTTCATTTGGGAAAATACAAAAATAGCCATTATCATCATCATCATAGCAGGGGTTGACGTTAAGGATTTGTACCACTTGCCCGACTTTCACATTTCATTAGCCCAGAAACAATTTTTACTTGCCCAGTATAATGTTTGATAAATATAGTTCCTAATATTCATGTTTGTATATATATGTTTGTTTTGTAAATGTTTTTTTGTAATTCAGTAAGTTTACAGGTTCCTGGTGTGTACTACTACTACTCACCAATTTAACATGTTTAGCTCTATAACATTTAAATGCACCACTCCAATGTCTAAGAGAAAAATTTAATAAACATTTTTAATGCATGACCTGCATCACTGTACATAAGGCTGCCATATGATAGAAATATTTACACTGTGCACATACAGTTATTATTATTATTTTCCTAATCCCTGACTGATCATTTTTAATCTAGCATGTATTATAGTACAGAAAAAATTCATCATCTAGCTGCTGCTCTGTAGAATTCTCTCCCCAAGGAGAGAAAAATCACGCCATTTAGCGGAAAATCACACGAGAATGTGTACAAAACAACAAAGATGGCGCCGGCAATGCTTGTGGGTCGTTTTCAGTGAATGTCGGTGTTATTAAAGTAATTTTGAGTGATAAATAATTTTTTTTGCGATCATTGCACTTGCATGTACCCTCCCGACAATAAAAACTACTTGCCCCGGGCGATCAGGCGATGGTTAACATCAAGCCCTGCATAGGTCTTTAAACAAAGCCAAGCAGGGAAATCTCAACTTTTCCTTGAAAAATATATTAAACAGAAACATCCATAGATTATTTTCTGGATGATTGTCCCTAAAAAAAATGTACCACAGTTAATTACTGCAGCAAAAAGCAATTAGTGAGAAATGAGTATTTTATCAATAGGGAGTAGGGCTGCAACTAACGATTATTTTGAAAATCGATGAATCGGCCGATTATTTTTTCGATTAATCGATTAATCGGACACAAAATATTTTTTTTATATTAACCTCTTTATTCCAAAATAAACATTTTAGACAGAACAAACAAGCCCACAAGTACAGGTTTCTCATTAACTGTACTGGTGCAATATGAAAAATAAATGTTTGTTTTAAAACTACGCAAACTTACATGAGAAATGTAGCTGTACATCCACAAAATATAGGGTACTTTGTTTCATAAAGCGCAAAAAAAGACATTTTTGTTTTAAAAGCCCCTAAGGGGTTCAAACAATAGGCCCCCCCCATTTCAACAAATGAGGTTTTTTTAGACTAGAAGAGTTCTGCCTTTTAAGACAGGAAAGTATAGCAGTTAAAGTTGCTACTAGAGAAAATACTGAACCATAGAGATAAAAATAGCCCTGTGATTCAAATTATAAATTGTATTTGGAATAAAAATTAGAGAACTAGGGGTGCTAAAAAACACATCCTCCAAAGACAGATATTTACATTTAATTAATTGACATATTACTGATCTTGCTGGATTTTATTCTGCTTTACTTCCATAAATTGCAGGATCTTCTTTACTTTATCTTTGCCAGAAGATTTAAACTTTAAAAGCCTTGCCCTCATAATTTGCAATTTAATTTATTTATAAAGAAAATATAAACGCTGCTTAAGCTAATTCAAATGAAATTAAAAGTAAAATAAGTAGCCAACCTTATCACTGTCTGTAACCTACTAACACGGTAAGGAAAGCATCAGATGAGCTACCTGAGAAACTAACGTTACGTTTCCCCACTTTAAAACCAAACAAACATGGTTACTCATCCTTCTGATCAGCTATCTTCACTGCCATTGAAGGCTCCAACCTGTTTTCTTTTCAGGTGCTGCGTCATAACAGTGGTGCTTCCGTGCCATGTTCATTTGTTTTTACAAAAGTCGCATGTTACGACTTTTTTCACTTTACAAAGCGCAGGCTGTTTTAATTATTGTGATCAATTTGCGCCGTCAATCCCGGGGCATGCGCGCTTCATTTGCAGTCTGGACGCTGAGGGTAAACTCCTCACTAAAATCCTGCGGCTCGGACTGCAGCGCTGAGAGGGATTCCTGTGGGAGAGGGAGAAAGGCGTTGGGATGGGGGAGGTGCCCCACGGCAGCAGCTGCCGCTGGAGGACAAGAGTAGGAACGATACATGCTTTCACGTAAGAGTCTCCAAAAGCCGCCAGTGACACCGTAAAAAGTCGCCAGATTTGTCGCTAGTCGCTTTTTTTTTTAAATAGTCGCTGGAGGGGTCTGAAAAGTCGCTGAGTTGGCAACACTGCAACTGCGGCGCTGACTCGCTCCGCCATATTTCTTTTGCTTCCCCGGGATGACGGCGGCGGCGGATGACGCATTAATCGCGCGACACAACTAATCGATGATTAAATTCGTTGCCAACGCTTTTAAAAGTCGATTTTTATCGATTTTATCGATTCGTTGTTGCAGCCCTAATAGGGAGCATTAACCTTGACGGGGGGAGACATATTTATTCTGTGAGCCTGACAGCAGAAAGTTTCTGCAAATAATTAAACACAATGTTCAATAATTCTAAGTTATATAAACAATATGTCCATTAATGTTGGAGAGGTAGATGCAGGTAAACAGATATCTTCCCCTTGGACCTCCATAATTAGGTCAAGAGATTTAAATTCTCCATATCTGAACCAACGAAGACTGTCTGATAACACTGACTGGTACCAGACCAGCTCACCTGCCGCTCTCTGAGCTCTGCTGCCACTGGAGTCAGGTGAATCTTCCACTCCCTCCGGGGGATGTAGCGCTCCTCCGACTTCTCAGACTGGTTGCTGCTGGAGTCAACCGGCACCGTGTCGGTGGGCTCCCCGGTTCCCGGCTCCAGGAACTGGTTGACGAAGGCGTCTATGTCGGACAGGAAGGACGGTGTCCTGGTGGTGTGGGGCCTTGGCTGCGGGGGTGGGTGAGGGACCTTGGGGCCCGGGGATACCGGCGTGTACAGATACAGGTGAGAGGCTCCCACATCATCCCAGTAGATGATGATGAGGAGGATCATAAAAGCCGAGCCCAGGGCCACAAAAATGTGGAACATCCTGGATGTTCCCATGGTGACAGCTGCTGGCTATAGAGTCACCATAGCAACAGACTTATGATTTTGCAGGGTGTCTACAGAGCATCGCCATGGCAGCTGATTAAAACAGATACCAAGGTCCTTTTCCTCTGCATCGATCGGAGGTTTGAGTCCACTACGAGGTTAAAAGGAAAACAGAAGCTCCATCTGAGTGTGTTTATGGACCCGGTCGCTTCAGAAGCCTCTCTAGTCGGATCAGGCAAAGCATGACTGCGAGAGGCCGGGCCAGTCATGCATTTGTGCTACATTCCTGCAGAAAAACAGACAGAAGAAAAGCAGATTTCATTTTTTTTTTTCAAACTTAAATGTATTATAAATAAATGCAAATCTTGAAATATGATCTGTATATTTATACATATAGAGGAAAAGCCAAACTGGCTGTGTATGACAAATCAGTTATCCACCCTCCCCCCAAAAAATCATATATATATATATATATATATATATATATATATATATATATATATATATATATATATATGAGTTATATATATAAGTCATTGGGTTCTGATGCAAAGTTTCAGTGAAGAGTGACACTTAATTTATGGCAAAGCATGAGCTTAATTTAGCATTTTTCCCCCTTCCCGCTGCCAGCAGTGAAATCACAAATGCTTGTCAAATATTTTTAGATCTCAGCACAGCAAAGAGCAACACTTTGCAGCCACAGCAGTGTTTACTCAAAGTACCACGCCCTCCTCTGATAATAAAAGTGCCAGTGTGAGCCACCTTTGAAGGAGGTCGCTTATAAAACGCTTCAGAGCCCGACCGCAGTGCCTGCTGTATGAGGGGGGAACACAGATGCTCACTGTGTGCACTAATCAGCTCGGAAGGCTCAGAGATGGATGCCGTGTCTGTCCTATCTAGAACTTCCCACAGCCACATTTCCTGCTTCTCAGGAATAATCGAGCTCCGGTCAACGCTTCTCTTTCCTGCTTGGATCAAATGTCAAGGAGCGTCATTTTTTCTGTTTCAGCTCACATTTAAACTTGGGATGTCATGGATCAGACTCCATGCGTCCCTAAGGGTAAGAGGAAACCACTGACATGGAAACATCTCTCAGGAGGCAGCAGACAGCTCTCCTCTTCCTCCCTACAGAAACCATCATATATGTTGCTCTATGTCAACACACATCATGTTGTATTTATCCTCGCCGTCAGCAATAATAAACAGGGCATATCTAATGCAAAGTAAAGCAGATTTAAGTTAGAACTAGTAGTTAGCACATATTCATTTAGTCATGCATCAATTACTTGGTTTTAAAAACTCAATAATCATTTTTAGCCTCTATATGTATGAAGAAAATTGTTCTTTCATTTAGGGCTGCAACTAATGATTATTTAGCAAATGAATTAATCTGTCAATTATTTTTTCAATTAATTGATTAATAATCAGATAGCCAAAGGTTCCTTAAAGAAGATTTTTTACTAAATTATACCAGGTGAAACTACAACTTTTCCACTTGAGGAGTTCTGGATAGAGCACATTGACAGACGAAAAGGTTTTTTTATATCTTAAATGCTAAATATTTATATATTTCTTTACAATTTTTATATAATTACTGCTTTAATTGGGTTGTACTGTCACCTAAAGGCATGTCTTACAGTCTCTTTACTCCAGTTAATGATTAACTGATTGCTAAATTAGTTGACGATTATTTCAATAATCTAATAATTAATAATTTCAATAATCGATTAATCTGATTAATTGTCTCAGAACTACTTTCATTAATGCAATTGTTTTGAAAAGTAAAAAAATAAAGCTAAAAGTTGAGGACATATTTCTTGGTGCATAAAACGGGATTAAATCCGTATTCCCTTTATTCTCCGTTTTATTCAACCACTTCCTCCTCCATTAAACCTGCAGCACATTTTTTTTTATTTAATAGCCAATGTTGATTACATTTTTCAACTAGAAAAATATGTTTCCTGAGAAGATGGGTGTGAATGTTGTACGCTGAATCTGTAACCTAGCAGAAACATGCTGAAATGTTATGAATTTGCTAAACCAGATGCTTGATGGCTTTCCTAAAAAAATAGTCATGCAGATTTCCATAGCAATAAAACTTGTTGAAATCTATTAAATCTACACACAAAAAACCCCCAAAAAACTGCTTGTTCACATAATTAGCAGAAAGCAGAGATCCTGCATTCCTAAGAAAGTAGAATCAAGCTGAAGCATGTGTGTAAAATCCAATGAATAGAGCAGGGCAATCCCTATAATAACAGAAACAGAGGAAGACGTTGTGGAAAAACTATTTCAAAGAGCTGAGTTATGCAATAATAGCAGAGGGCTGTGAAAACGTTGAATAGCATCTGAAATAGGTAAGATGGAAAGAAAGATGACTTTTTAGCAGGATCTTTGAAGGGTTCCAATCATTTTAATGGGAGCAAAAAAAAAATTAAAAGATTAAATAGAGTTTTAATAGCAAAAAACAATCCAGAAAGGACAGAATATAGCAGAAATTGAATGACTGAGACAGAAGAATGAAAGAAAGAAACACAATAATTAGTGTATATGCTACTATAAATATTCAGTTATATAGTAATTTATGTATTTTAATATACCTGGTATCAGATTAATTTATTTTTTGACCACAGTTTTCAAAAAGATTAAAGTTTTAGGTTGTGACAGTCAGCTTTAAATTGATTTAATTTGCCACCAGGTCGCAGCCTGATCAGCAGCCTGGGCTGGCCGCTCCGCTGCCATAAATCCCTCCGTCCTGTCCGCAGCAGCCAGACCGCCGGACACAAAGCAGCCTTTGATGGGGAAGCAGCGGGCTGCCTCACACCCGGAGCTCACAGAGTCCCAACAGGCGCGGTGTTCGCCTTTCTATCGTTTCAGATAGATTTAGGTCCAAATTTATGGCAGATGTGGCAGGTAAAAATAGCGAGTTTCTCATCTAACGGTCGGTTTACCACGACCACAGCCTAACGGTGTCTAACAAATGCAAAGCGCTGAGGCAAAATTACTACCCAGAGGCGATGCGCACCAACATAGCAGGTTATAAACTTTATGAAATAGGAGAAAAAGACATTTAAAATCGAGCGTCTTCACCTTTTTTTCCAGCTCCTCTCCTCTTGTTGGATCAGCTGAGTCCGCGCTCTGTAAGAGTCGCTGCTTTTCCCCTGGGAGATGGAGCGGGATCTCGGAGCAAAACACCGCGAGACTTCACATCCATGAGGTTTGTGCAACATGAGCTCATGAGAGGAAAATAAATTCACTTTTCTGGGTCAGCTTCAACATGACATTTCTCTCATTTTGGGATGATTCATCCCACGGTAACGTTAGGTGGAAAATAACCTTCAAAAATGACTAAGCCATTAAATATAATTTTTTAACAAAAGCCCAACAATGACCACAAAAAACAGTGGTTAAGTATTACTTCATATTACCATCATGTTGTAGACAAAAGCTTATTCATGTTGTGACCTATAATCAGTCTGCGATCACAGAATTTCACACAGAGACTGTTCTGTAAAACAAAGTAATGACTTTAATAGGAACTTACCCTTTTTTCGCTGTACATACACCTCATACTTAGTACCTTATACATACATCTTAGGTGCCCCATTGGGATTGTTTTCCAACATATTTATTTATGCTTATGAAATTAGCTTTTTTCTAAAACAAGTTCATCAAATCTCCACTGACCTGTACATTAATGTATAAAAATAAGGACACCATATAAATATTCAGAACCTTATTACAAAATATAAACATAGCAAAGTATACACCTTTTTTAGTACATATCTACACTCCTCAAAAAAATTAAAGGAACACTTTTAATCATAGTATAGCATCAAGTTAATTAAACTTCTGGGATGTCTTGGAATTCTTGGAATTCAGCCCTCGCCAGGTTGATCATAATTTTCATTTGCATAAAATGATGTTGCATCCTTTTGTTCCTAACACATCACCCAGTTCTTATCAGTATAAATACATAAACAGCATGATTTTTCCCCCATTGAGATCTGATGTGTTTTTAAAGTGTTCCTTAAATTTTTTTAACAGCGTATTTATATTCCACTCATCATACTTAATATATAAATGAATAGAGATTTTCTGGATGAGGAAAAATAAAGAACAATACCTCCCAACAGCTAGTTACCCCAACATCTTGAGTGAGAAGAGCTTTTCCTTCAACTTTCTTCATGTGTGTCCTGTTTTACCTATATAGCTCTGGAAATAGATGTCCCTAATTTTTCAATACCCTCTCCCTCTGAATTAATTAACTTAAAGTTAATTAAACTTGTTTTTATCCAATAATCACACACACAAAAACATATATACATATATACACAATTATATAGATACACACACACACACACACACACGTGTATATATATATGTATATATATATATATATGTATATATATATATATGTATATATATATATGTATATATGTATATATATATATGTATATATATATATGTATATATGTATATGTATATATATATATGTATATATATATGTATATATGTATATGTATATATATATATATATATATATATATATATATATATATATATATATATATATATATATATATATATATATATATAACTGAAACCAATGAGCTGACCTACGCCACAGCTACAGTGATCCTAGAGATGCTTGGCTATAACATAAACAAAACAGGCCACAAAGCAGAGCCCCCATGGAGAAGAAGGGTGGAAGCCAGGATCAAGGCAACACGAAGAGAGGTTAGTCAGCTCTCAGACCTGTAGAAAGGTGTAGGGAAGAGGTTACCTAAGTACAACAAGCTGTCGATTCCTGAGGCTCTGGAAACTGCCAAACAAAGACTCGCCGCCCTGGCCACCCGCCTAAAGAGATACAAGGGAGAAGCAGAAGCCAGGAGAATAAACCAGGTGTTCTCCACCAACCCATCCAAAGTGTACTCACAGTGGCAGGGTAATTCAAGATCAGATCCACCCAGGGCTGAGACTGAACAGTACTGGAGAAACATATGGGAGAAGGAGGCATCCCACAACACCAATGCTCAGTGGCTGGAAGATCTAAGAACAGATCACAGCAATCTCCCAGAACAAGAACCAGTAACCATTACAACGGCAGATGTCCAAGAAAGAGCGGCAGGTATGAAGAGCTGGACAGCACCAGGCCCTGACATGATCCACACCTACTGGCTGAAAAAACTAACCGCACTTCATGCACGCCTCGCAGCACAAATGAACCAACTGCTGATGGATGGGACCCACCCAGAATGGTTAACCCAAGGACGGACAATCCTGATCATGAAGGATCCGCAGAAGGGAAGGGAAAAAGGGAAGGGAAAAAATCCTACCAGTGGCTGGAAAAGGCTGGACTGAAGGACAGCACAGAGGCACTAATCATGGCAGCACAAGAACAGGCACTCAGTACAAGATCAATAGAGGCCAGGGTCTACCACACCAGGCAGGACCCCCGATGCAGACTGTGCAAAGATGCCTCTGAAACAATACAGCACATAACAGCGGGGTGTAAAATGCAGGCAGGAAGTGCATACATGGAACGCCACAACCAGGTAGCTGTCATAGTGTACAGGAACATCTGCCATAAGTATGGGCTGGAAGTCCCAAGGTCAAAATGGAAGACACCTCCTAAGGTAGTTGAGAATGACCGAGCTAAGATCCTATGGGACTTCAAGATCCAGACTGACAAACAGGTGATGGCTAACCAACCAGACATCGTGTTGATCGACAAACAGCAGAAGAAGGCAGTAGTGATAGATGTGGCAATCCCAAGCGACAGCAACATCAAGAAGAAAGAACACGAGAAGCTTGAGAAATACCAAGGACTGAAGGAGGAGCTAGAAAAGATGTGGAAAGTAAGAGCAGCAGTGGTGCCAGTGGTAATTGGAGCACTGGGGGCTGTGACCCCCAAACTGGGAGAGTGGCTACAGCAGATTCCAGGTAAAACATCAGAGGTCTCTGTCCAGAAGAGCGCAGTCCTAGGAACAGCTAAGATACTGCGCAGAACCCTCAAACTCCCAGGCCTCTGGTAGAGGACCCGAGCTTGAGGATGACACATACCACCCCACGAGGGGTGAGAAAACAGTTTTTATATATATATATATATATATATATATATATATATATATATATATATATATATATATAAATATATATATACATACATATACAAGTAATGAATAAATAAAAAATACATTGAACTTTATTGATCTCACAATTGAGAAAATTAACTCTTTGCATTTAACCCATCCCCATTGGGGAGCAGTGGGCTGCAACTGTGCAGTGCCCAGGGAGCTATCAGGGGTTAAAGTGTTGCTCACTGACCCAGAGTGGCAGTCTGTGGGAGTGGGTTTCAACTCACTAAGGTTGTGAGTTAACTCACAACCTCAGGATTCCAAGATCTATGCCCCAACCATTAGGCAGTCACTCCCCCGTTAGGACGACTCTTGTTGTACCGCTCCATTGAAATTTTAAGTAAAAGGCACATAAACACATACCTACATAAACACATCCATTTTGGCCTCATCCTCATTAGGGGAGGTGAGAAAGAAAGAGGGGATAAGAATTAAGCAGAGAGAGAGAAAGAGATAGAGAGAGGGTAGAGTGCCTGAAAAGAGAGAATTGAACAAAACAGCAAAAATGGAGAACAAAGAAGATATACAATGATTTCTAGAAGTCTGCTAGAAGTATTTTACATGAGAGGAACATGTAAAATACCAACAGCAAAACGAAGACAACAGACAACCAAAGTAAACATAAAAAAAAAGATTAAAGAGTAGCAGGTATCCCTTAAATACACATGTACGTGGACGGCAAAACCCATGCAGCTTAATGTTTAGTATTTTTATGTATCCTTGAACACCTGGAACCAACTCGTGTGCTATGTATGCATGGGCATGCTAGTGTATAAAGGATTTACAAAGCTTCTTCGGGAGAAAAATAAAAAATATTAATAGCAGTTGTGGGGGGCCCCAGACTTGCCCTACAGGGCCCAGGAAGGAAAATGAGGTGATCCCTGCCCCAGATATCCAGTGGCACCCCAGAAAACTGAGACATAAATAGGGCAGACATAGGGATGGCCACAACTACCAGAGAAGGGTAGATGAGAGCACCCAGAGCCTTACCCCTAGGGGCCCAGTTCCTAGGGGGGTTATTGTCACAAGTTGACAATAACAACTTCACACTCATCACAATCCCACCCTTACACCCATACAGAGGTATACAAGCATTTAATGGAGAATGCCCACTGGGATAGACACCAAATATATTGTTAAACTCCTTATACTTACACCATCCTGAGGGGTCTGGACCAAGGGGAAACAGGCCCACAGACCCATGTGGAGATCCTCAGACCGCTCAGTTTGGAAAGGGGACAGGCAAAAAAAAAAAGAGGGGTTGGGACCTGCGCCATTATAGGGAGGAAGGCAGTACTGTCGCCCAGGGCTAGCCCCAAACAATACCCTGGGCCCATCCTGAAGAGGGACAATTGCCCCCGAATGCACCAACCACAGACAGGGTATTCCCAAAAAAATCATCCACCCAGCCCCACAGACCCCAGAGCAGGTAGCTAACTCGCCAAAGAATCCACTCAGCCCAATCCAATCACAGTTGTTCCAGGTCCTCACATCCATATGGTCCTGTCATACCCATAGCTGGCAGGCAAATGCAACCCAGGTAATTCACCTCCCAAGACGAAGTACAACACGCCAGCCAACCGAGCCCAAGTGCCAGAGACCCTTATCGTACCTCAACTCAAATGCAGGCACAGGCCATGCGCAGGGTCAAGGCAAGCAGCCAAGCAGACCCACTTCACAAGCTGAGATGTATCCGGGCAAGGTGACTGTATCTCAGCTGCCGTACAGCCACACCAGTTAAATGGCTCCCCAATCCATGACTAACCCTAAGGGCCCAGCCACATCCCCAGGCTCAGCAGAGAGAACAGAGGTGTGAAAGACCCCATGCCAGCCCCCCTCTTATGTAGTGTTGTTGCCTGTTAGACTACTATTTAAAACCACAGGGAAGGTCTTTCTACTTTCTACAAATTTTAAAATATTTTGGGGCTCGCTGATATGAACAACCTGTTTTCAGTCCTTACATTTATAAGGAAAATATAAGCCAAACTGTTTTCATGGCTTACATTTCTCAGTAAGCCATGAGATCTTACTGCATCTCCGTTAGATCATAGCAGCTTTGATTCACCCCAGGACTTTCCATTCCACATTCTTC